GAGGGAGGGAGGGAGGGAGGCAGAATGAATACAAGCAGGGGCTTGGGAGCAAAACTGAAACACAGTGGCATGTACTCAGCTGCCTCCAGTAACTGGCTCACAGCTGAAGTGCTATCTGTGGCACTTAAAAAGCTCATCTACAACCTGCCTTTCAGAGAATACTTATGAGATCATTACAATATTCTAGAAAAGTTTTCAGAGTTCCAAGACTCGATGATTTCAAGCATGCAAAAAGAATCAACATTGGTAAACTTTATCAAGTATGACTAACCACTGAGGCTATGGGAGGGTGCTACTTAGGAAGTGGGTATATAAATAAATGTAAAAGAAAAAAAAATAATTCTTCAAAGCATAAAATTTTGCTCCTTAATAATTAGTAGATGTGAAAAACATTACCATTGAAATCTACCTGATGACTTTATGTCTCAGAAAGTAACCTACTGTAACTAGTAACAATCAGATATATAGAGATCAGCAACATATGTGCATCATAGTGTCAACTGTATTAAAAATGAATTTCTCTGTATGAAACTGTATTTTAATAATGAAATGGAGATCTTTTTTAAAGTTTAAAACCTCATTTAATTTTATGTCATAGGGGTTATATGGAGTACAATAATGTATAACTGTATCAATTCAACTGTAAACCTAAAAATATACAGCCAGTTTTGAAAGAGATGCATCTTAGCTCTGGAAATTGTTATTGAATATGTCAATGCTGTTGTAATGAAATCCTTCTTCTAATTATATGGTTATTAAATAAATAATTTTAAAAAATTCAATAATACGAAATGAGGCCTTTTTTGGTAAACTTTTTTTTTTTTTTTTTTTGAGACAGGGTCTCCCTGTAGCCCCAGCTGTCCTGGAGCTCACTCTGTAGACCAGGCTGGCCTTGAACTCACAGAGATCCACCTGCCTCTGCCTCCCAAGTGCTGGGATTAAAGGTGTGTGCCACCACACCCAGCTTTGGTAAACATTTTATCCAACTAGAATAACTAGAAAAGATGACAGAAAACAAATTTTCAGGTATATTCTATACTGAATAATTCTAATATTAATCACTTTAGGACCTCAAGGGTCACTTTTTAGAAATTTTCATAATCATGATGAAAAGATTTTGGATATCCCACTCTTCTACTGTGCTAGTGACATTATGCTGCATGGGGTGAGTAGATTAGACGATGGTGTGTACCTGAAACTCAAAGTCAATACACACATATACACACGTGCACAGTGAAGGAACTGCTACTGTGATTATTCCTAATTACTGGAATTACAGGACATGTCAATGAAAAGTTACTTGTATAATTCAAAAAGAGAAAACACAGAGCCAAGGCAAAACTCTAAGCACAGGCAATTATAAATAGCTGCAGGGCCACACTACCTAGAAAGGCTTTTGATTTTCCAGCATTTTTATTTATTTGTTCATTCATTCATTTATTGTGGAGCTGTTACAGATTAAACTTTTAGCATTTTAAATATATGACTTCTTCAGTATACACTATACAGAAAAGTCAGGCTCTTCACTTACAGAATTGAATATGGTTTAAGAAATAAAACTTAGGGGCTAGAAATGGCTCAGTCAGTGGTTAAGAGCACTCACTGGCTCTTCTTGCAGAGAACTTGGGTTCAGTTCTCAGCACCCACATGGTGGCTAACAATTGTCCTTAACTCCAGTTCAAGGGGAAGCAATGCACTCTTCTGGCTTCCATGGGCATTGCACAAATGCAGTAACTTACATACACAGCAGGCAAAACAATCATACACATAAAGTAAAAAAAATTTTTAAAGCAATAAAGCTGCTACCTATAGGCCTCTCTCAGGGGTAAGTCCATTGCGCCCTCCGCACTCTGACTCCCCCAGCCTCATTCACCCTCCCATCTCTGCCACCATTCTCTCCTCCGAGTTTGGGCCCTGCCCCATTCCTTATCTTGGGGCCCCAGACACCTGGGAAACCAATACTGCTCCCTGATGCTTTTCATCCAGACCAAATTAGTGCCTTCTCTGGGCCCCAGGAGCTCTGCTTCTGGGCCTGGCCCCGTCCTCACCTCTCTGTGCCTCCCTGGGCCTGCAGGACCCACCTCAAGCCTCACTCCTACCCACAGGCCTCTCTCTGGGGTAAGTCCATTGTGCCCTCCACGCCTTGACTCCCCCAGCCTCATTCACCCTCCGATCTCCACTGCTGTTCTCTCCTCCAAGAGAGGGCCCTGCCCCATTCCTTGTCTTGGGGCCCCAGACACCTGGGGAACCAAAACTGCTCCCTGATCCTTTTCATCCAGACCAATGGAGTGCCTTCTCTGGGCCCCAGGAGCAATACTTTTGGGCATGTCCCTGCTCTGCTCTCAACTCCCTCTGCTTCCCTGAGCCTGCACCACCGCCAGCTTCTTTCTAGGACTCTGGGGCTGACCTTTCCTCTTCTTCATCCTTTGCAACCAGACCAACCCAGCTCTTCAGTGCAGGCCCCAGGAGGCCTTAGGGCCTCTTCCCGCCCCATCTGCCTTTGCATCTCTTGGTGGCAAGGCCACCAGTTGCCCTAGACAAGCATCTTTCCTGAGCAAGGCTCCCAGGGCAGTCCAACCCCCAAATTCCTGAAGACAAAATCGTTCCTGGAGGGATCCACACCTTAGGAGAAAGCCTTAAAACACCTGACCCTCACCTGAATTGGGCCTCTGTGGGAACTCCTGAAGACAAAATCAATCTGGTCCCTCCAATATAAAATCAAAACAGAGAACTGGAAGCTTAGATGAACCAACTTTTCATTCCCAAAAAGTAAACCACAAAGACACATAAAGTTCACAAAAAGAAGCAGACCTAAACTGGAAGGCCTGAGTCTCACACAAGAATCAGAAACTACAAAAGAAATTCACATGGCAAAATCACAGAAAAAATAATAACATGAAACTAAAACAACACATCCCCACCAAATACCAACAGTCCTCTAGAGGAGTACAATGAGAAGCCCCTAGAGATAATGCAGGACATGGAACTCAAAAGAACAATTATAAACATGATAAAAGAATTCAGTGAATTCTACATAGTGAGTTCCAGGACAGCTAGGGCTACAGAGAGACCCTGTCTCAAAAAAAAAAAAAAAAAAAAAACACGAGAAATATTGAAGAGAATCTCAGGCTGAAATGAAGAAGGAAGTGACACACTCAGTAAGCCAATTAGAAAAGACAGCAGAAAGCCCCACCAATAGGATGAACAAAATGGAAAACAGGGTATCAAGATTGGAAGACAAAGTGGATGAACTAAACCACTCAAACAAAGATTATGAAAAATTTAAGAAATCACAAGAATGGAATATGCAGGAATTGTGTGACACCATCAAAAGACCAAACTTACCAATCATAGGCATACAGGAAGGAGAAGAATCCCAAGATAATGCATGGACCAGATCTTCAACAGTAAAATAGAGATTTC